TGTTGGGCCTTTATTCTCCAGCGTCACACGGCCTCCGGGGCCGTCCACCTCTCGGCTTCCTCATTCTTTTGTCGCTGACGTGCCATGTTCGCCGGTTCATTGGCCCGTTGGCCTTAGTCTTGCAGAATTCCAACGGCCCTCCTGGCCTCATGCTATGATCTATGTGCCCCTGTCTTCGCGCTCACTTGCTTGCCGTCGCTGGTCTTTTCCCCCGACGGTTCTCAACCCAGGGCATCATTCCTTTTGGTGGCCTTGTCCTTTGTTTTTTCTCTCCCTTACTTCCTTAGTCCAGATTTCTCTGTCGTGCACAATTTGGCTATATACAGTCTCTCAAATGACGGGATGTTATTCGGGACCCACCAGTCCCGACACATTCCCCCCACTCGTTCGCGATGTCCTCATCGCGCACCAATCTTCTGTCAGTGGGTGTTTGGAGGGATAGATGGGAGAAGAGGACGGGATGTCGTTAGGTGGTTAGTTTGCCAAGGTCCGTTTTGTCTTTCTCGTTTCTTTCTCGGGTTTCTTTTAGTCTTTGAGCCTTGGAGCTGGGAGGTGTGTAGGATTCAAGCTTTCTTTGTCCTTCAGGCTTCCCATGTCTCATTCATCACTCTTAAGAACATCAGATCCCTTCCGTCTCCTTCATCACCCTCAGAGCGTTAACCCTCCTTTCGTCTCATTCATCACCCTCGGAGCATCAAACCTCCTTTCGTCTCATTCATCATCCTCAGAGCATCAAACCTCCTTTCGTCTCATTCATCACCCGTGGTACAACAAGCCTCTTTTCGTCTCCCTCCTCTTGCTGCCCCTGCTTCCCCCCCCAAGCCTCGCAATCCCAAATACCCTTCAACTGGTCCTCCTTCCGTCTCGTGCCAACCAAGTGTCTTTTCTGGCCCCTGTCGCCCTCAGTGCCTCTTTTACTCGGCTCTTCGGCTCGTGCAATCCATGCTTCCCGTCATCCTTTTCTCAATCTCAAGCTCAACCGAATTCTCATGTATTTCTTCCAGGTCATTCTGCCCGACTTTTCTCTAGTCCTGCCTTTTTCATA